ATTAGACGGCAGCAGACGCGCCACTGGTGTCGGTTGCGAGCCATGTCCTGCAAAGTCTCGAGCCAAGCACAAGGTGAGTCACGTGAACTCCAACCCGGAAGGCGAGACGGACCAACGGCACCCAGTTTGGTCGTCAGTGACTTCATTTCCCGCTGCCAAGTCAACTTCTGTCCACCTCGAGCCTTGCGCCATCCGACACCTGGTAGACTGAACAACGCCCTCCTAGATAAGCGGTGACCAGGCATGCGTAGCACGTGCCCGAGCCAACGTAACTTATTCAGTACTATCTGTTGTTCTAGGGAGCTAGCATGATCATCACCACCTAGTACTCGCCTACGCACATCATCGTTGCGGACACGCTGGTGCCATCCGACACCAGCAATGCTTCGCAAACAACGATGATCAAAGACTTGAAGGCGCCTCAGGTCTTCAGACCGAAGGGGCCAAGTTTCACTACCATAGAGCAGAACGGCCCTCACTGTGGCCTTGTATACACGGCCTTTCAGACGGAGGGAAACTCTCTTCTGTCGCCAAAGATGACGCAGGTTTAAGAAGGCAGCTCTAGCCTTTGCAATGCGTGAGCTCACGTCAGTTTCTATGCGCCCATCATTGCTGATACAGCTGCCAAGATAAGTGAATTGATCAACCACCTCGAGTTCCTCGTTAGCAAGCGTCAAGGGGTCATCGAGTGGCTGGTGGTCCTGCAGCAACACTTTGCACTTTGAAGGTGCGAAGTGCATACCAAATAATGGGACCACTCTGGACAGGCTATTCATGGTTGATTGTGCCGCCTCAAAATTGTCGAAAAGCAAGACGATATCGTCCGCATAATCTAGATCAACTAACCGTTCACCAGGCAGCACTTCAACACCTACATCGTGCGATTCCGCAAGGGAACACTCCATGATAGAATCCACGACGAAATTGAACAAAAACGGGGAAATCAGGCAACCCTGTCGAACGCCACTTGTAGTCGAAAAGCTATCCGATAGGACACCATAGACCCTGACGCGGCCTCTAGTGTTCGAGTATAGAGCACGAAGGATGTTCACATATTTCGTGGGAACACCTTTCCACGCAAGTATTTCGAACAGAATCGATCGATCGACTGAATCGAACGCACTCTTGAAATCGAGGAACACAGCTATTGTCGGTCTGCGGTATGCGTGGCGCTGCTCTAACACCTGCCGCAAAGTAAATATATGGTCTATACAGCCACGTCCTGGGCGAAAACCGGCCTGCTCTTCTCTAATCCGAGATTCCCGTTCTGCAGTGAGGCGACGAACGATAATCGAGGCCAGTAATTTTGTCACAACTGGCGTTAGGCTAATACCCCTGTGGTTCGCACAGTCTGTGCGACTGCCCTTCTTGTATATTGCCACTATAATCGATTCGCTCCAATTAGCCGGGACACTCTCTTCGTTCCAGATACGTTCGAATAGGGAGGTCAGTGCCCTGCAGAGGACCTTACCTCCATCCTTAAATAGTGCAGGTGATAGGGAATCCGGGCCAGCGGCACGAAAACGATTGAGGGTTGTAATCGCGTTTCGGACCTCGGCCTCCGACGGAGGCTCTAAACTAACCGTCCATGGCTCGTCCTGCATCACCTGAGTAGGAAGAGGTCCGGGAGCAGGGGGCCAGCTGAACTGATGTTCAAAGTGCTCAGCCCAACGAGCCATACGGCGCTCCTTATTGTGTATCAGCGCACCCGCGCTGTCTCTGATTGTCTCACTGACGCCTGGTTTTCTCGGACCAGTGGTGCGTATTAGCTGGAAGAGCTTCCGGTAATTGCCTACTGCTCCTGCCTCCTCCATTTCTTGAGCCCGACTGGTCCACCAGGCTTCCTTGTCAGCATGTAGGCTCCGCTTTAGTTCACGCCTAATAGCCCGTCTGGTCACATTGTGTTCAGAACCAGCCGGGAGGTGCCTTCTAGCTTCCAAAAGGTTCACGGACCTCTCGGATATCCAGTGACTGGTGCGATGACGACTGATAGTGCCACAAGCAGATGCTCCTGCGTCGTGCATAGTGACCGAGATCCTATTCCACTGAAGCTCAGTGTCATTAGGACAAGACAGCGAGAGTTCGCTATGCAGTGCTTCTTGATAGGCTTGCCTGACCGAGGGCTGGGACAATCTCTCCGTTGCCAATCGGGGGAGACGCTTTGTGCGCCTTCCGGTAAAGCTCATGGCGAAACGACAGCGCACCAAAGCATGGTCAGAGTCGACACAGGTACTCCAGTACGAGCGGCAATCCAGAATGGAACCGCGCCACCTGAAACTTATGGCTATGTGGTCAATTTGGGTCCATCGCTGACCAGCTACAGGTAAACGCCAAGTGGCACTTCTGCGCTTACTGTGTCTAAAAGCAGTGCTAGTAAGAAACAACTGGTGCTCTGCACACAGTTGCAGCAGACGCTCGCCGTTGTCAGTCCGTTCGGCGTTAAGTCCATACTTACCACCCAGTTGAGCTTCTGAAGGGTTCAGACGCCCTACTTGTGCGTTCATATCCTCTGCAAGTACTATAATATCTGAACTAGTAGCACTGCGTAGCAGCGTGTTCAGTTCGTGATAGAAAGTGTCCTTGACTGCATTAGAACTGCAGTCCGTGGGAGCATAAGCAGAAATCACAAACAAACAGCGTTTTGTTTTACTTCGCGAATTCACCTTAGCTGATGTCGTCAAACGGGCTGCACATAAACGGCTGTTCACCGGAATCCAATCAACCAAAGATGACTCAGCCTTGGAGCTGAGAATGATGCCTACACCAGCTTGACCCGTGAGTGCCGCATCGGCGTCTCCGGATGCGTGCAAGCAATAACGAGAGGATAAGCCGGGTGCAGTCAATTCAATAACCCCGTTAGGGTCATTAATCCTAGTTTCGGACACACAACACACATCAACACCCAGTGTGTCCAAGGTGCGTGCGAGTGCAGCCTGCTGACCTGTTTGTCTTAGAGTGCGGACGTTGAATGTCGCCATGGAAACGGGACAGCGTGGCCTTATAAGGGAGTGCCGATAGGTGTCCGATAGGTGCTGTGGGATGGTGGCTGCAGATGGTTCTACTCCAGTAGCACTTCGGTTGCTGTCAATTAAGCTGGGAATTATAGAAGCAAGGTTAGTAATGGGGGCCGGGATGGGAGTAAGAGGAAAAGGTGGAAAAGAAAGAAGGGAGGCGCCAGCAGTAGCATGCTTTCGCTTATCCGCCCTGCTGTATGCAGCAGATAAGGCGACCCTTGATAATCTGCGCGACGGCCGATGCAGGATGAAGTTTATGTTTGAAGAAAATGTCATGGTTGTATGTGGGCTGGGATACTGCCAGGGCGCCCAGACCTAGACAGGAGAACGATTAGGGTCCTCATCCAAAGCCTTTGGCTCAAAAGCCTGTCCGCAAGGCAGCGGGGTGGCAGTGATTTAGTTTTACAGAAATGGACGCCATCCCATTTCAAACCCCCAACCTGGAGGACCAGGAGACTGAGTTTGTCTGATCTCTCACCATTGACCAACCTGGTAGGAGTAGCTCTCAAGATGCTTGGAGGCATCACCCAGTATAGCTCAATGGGTCAATGAGGTACGCAAACCGTCGCACCACGTTAAGGTCCAGTCTCGTTGCGACGGGACAAGTACGGATGGAAGGACATAAATAAATAAAGCTTTTATTCTCGACAAGGCGAGGCACGCCCTCACAGGCATGATCATTTTAACATAACAGTGCGTGATCAAGAATGTGCAAAATCCGATATGTTTGCCGTAACAGTGTATGTTTGTGTAGGGAGGTATGTATGTACTTGTGTGTGTTTGTATGTAGCAAACCAACTTACACTTAAACTAGGTCTTTTTCAGCTGGATAAATTTCATTCCGCTTTATTTGGTTTGTTCTGCCTCCCTGAATAATGTTCTATTAACTGGCCACGTTGCTTACACTAATTGCGCTTATCTTCGGTAATATTGTTGCGTTTGTAGCATTTTAAGTAACTTGTGGACATTTCTTACTTATCACGGATTTGTTGCTGACCAACTTACTTCATATGGTAATTTAGCGAAGAGTTATGCCACCGTATCTGTATGCATTATTGGATTTATTTTATTTCAGCTTGTCGTTTAAAGTGAATGGCTGTTGTTTGATATCCCTGGTATGGTTGCGCTTGATGTGTATGTTGACAAGGTGCCTACCTGTCTATTACCCACTACATCGTTCATACTGGCTCCAGGAGACAGTTGGTCGTTGCTGGAGGGGACGGGGTGCACGGTTCTTGTGGCCGTGCTAGGCTCAAAGAGCGGTTCCATGCACTCAGTGTGGAGCGGACTACGGTCCAGCCACCGCCTTGTGTGCGGTTGATTCCCCAAATACAGCGTGCTTGTGTTTGCCTGTGAAGGAGTGTGGGCCGGCTCCGTTGATGAAACGTGGTTCCCATCCGCATGCCTCCCGGTCTTATTCCTTCGGGTTTACACTGGATATGGGGTATGTGGTTGGAGCTGTGGGTGGTGCAGCGCAAGCCATCCATGGTCCCTCTGTAGGCGCAGGCGTCCTGTGGCTTGCCACAGTGACAGGCAAATCCGAAACCGGATGCCGCCAACCATGTATGTAGCATTGGTGCTGAAGTATTGGAAACCACCTCCCGCTTCTGCTACCTTGGGAGTGTGATGTCGACTGATCAGCAACTACACGTTGAGTTGCGTAATCGCGTGTCGAAGGCGGCAGCGGCATTCGGGAAGCTTGAGTACCGAGTGTGGAACAACCATCAGCTTACCATTGGCACAAAGCTGCTGGTGTACAAATCCATGGTACTGTCCGTTCTTCTATACGGCAGTGAAACGTGGACGATGTACGGTCGGGATGTGCGATATCTCGAGCGGTTCCATCAGCAGTGTCTGCGACGAATTTTACGGATCGGTTGGGGCGCCAGAGTTACAGACACGGAAGTGTTGCGCCGAAGTGGGATGTATGCAGTGGACTGCATACTTTTACTGAGGCACCTGAGATGGCTCGGTCATGTGAGCCGTATGGATTCGACGCGGATACCGAAACAACTTTTATACGGTCAGCTGAGTATAGGGAAGCGGCATGCTGGGAAACCAAAGTTACGTTACCAGGACATGATTAAAGTGAGCCTCACACGTTCTAATCTTGATTGCAGATCATGGGAATCGAAGGCGGTTGATCGTGGTGCATGGCGCGATCTAATCACGAAGGCAGTTGCTGAGGTGCGGGAGAAATCCCTCATGCATGCAGAGAAGAAGCGGCAGTTGCGGAAGCGGCAAGCACCGATGAATTGTACTCCATCGACATCGAGCGCATTGTGCTGTAGAACATGCGGTCGCGAGTGCCTTAGTCAGGCAGGCCTAGTGAGCCATGAGAGAGGTCACTCGGGTCCACTGCCGAAGCGACGACGGGTCCCGCAGTGAACGTAGGCAGCACCGGCGCAGCGTTTGTAGGCACGCTGAATTCGATTTACTAACCGCATGCTTGCATGCTAAGTCTCTTTATTTCAGGTGGTGGGTTTTCGGTTCTCTCCTAATGCCTTTCTTTCTCATATACATGTCTAGTGGGCCATGAGCTGTGCCATTTTGGGCCACTACAGAAGCGACGACGGGTGCTGCAGAGAATTACGACGAGCCGGCGCAGCGTTTGTAGGCACGCTGCATTCGATTTACTAACCGCGTGCTTGCATGCTAAGTCTCTTTATTTCAGGTGGTGGGTTTACAGTTTTTACCTTAATGCTTTTCTTTCTCATATAAATATCTCCCTGTACTTTATTCCATTAACTTGCACACATCGCCTAAGCCAATTGTGTTCGATTTCCATAACATTTTTGTGTTCGTGGCATTCCGTGAACTATACTTCCTGACCTCGTGCACTTAACTAGGATTTGTTTGTAAACAACTTATTAAGTATGTTATTTAATTAAGGTTTATGTCACCGTTTCCTTATGCATTAATCGAGTTTTTCTCTCTCACTTTCTCAAGTGATTGGCTGTTGTTTGATATCCCCGGTGTGGCTGCGCTTGATGTGCATGTTGATAAGGTGCCTACCTGTCTAATACCCACTACCTCGTCCATACTGGCTCCAGGAGACAGTTGGTCGTTGCTGGAGGGGACGGGGTGCACGGTCCTTGTGGCCGTGTTAGGCTCGAAGAGTGGTTCCATGCACTCAGTGTGGAGCGGACTACGGTCCAGCCACCGCCTTGTGTGCGCTTGATTCCCAAATACAGTGTGCTTGTGTTTGCCTGTGAAGGAGTGTGGGCCGGCTCCGTTGATGAAACGTGGCTCCCATCCGCATGCCTCCCGGTCTTATTCCTTCGGGTTTACACTGGATATGGGGTGTGTGGTTGGAGCTGTGGGTGGTGCAGCGCAAGCCACCCATGATCCCTCTGTAGGCGCAGGTGTCCTGTGGCTTGCCACAGTGACAGGCAAATCCGAAACCGGATGCCGCCAACCATGTATGTAGCTGTGTAGATTGTATTTCTGTTCGTCGCAATCAGCCGACAATTCAGCTAAGTCGGCTACCTATCCGGAAAAGCACCAGACGGCCGTTTCGCCCTATTGGGCTCGTCAGTGGTGCGCATCCTTCGGTCCTCTACGGAGGATCGAACCCATGACTGCTAGTGGCTTGTGCCAACTAGCCCGCAGCTTATGCAACTGCGCCATTGAGGACGGTAGCCGCCCATCACGAATTGTTAGCTAACTGCGATATAGCCCGACCCATCCTCCACTGTCATTGAGGCACCTGCCATGCAGATGACAGCGGTTGGCCTTCCGACGTCAGGACTTCCCGTTTACGGTAGCTATGAATCGACATAGCACTTATGAAATCCGTAAGGGCTTGTGTGCTTGCTTGTGTGCCCCATGCTGAGGCTGATGTTGCACTCATGATGCTTCTTCACCGCAGTTGGACTAAACCAACTTACACTTAAATTAGGTCTTTTTAAGCTGGAGAAATTACATTCCGCTATTTGGTTTGTTCTGCCTACCTGAATAATCTATTAACTGGCCACGTTGCTTACGCTAAGTGTGTTTATCTTCGTTAGCTTTATTGCGTTCGTAGCATTTTTGAGTAACTTTTGGACCTTTTTTACTAACCAACTTACTTCATATGCTAATTTAGGGAAGAATTATGTCTGCATAACCGTATTTTTTAACACTGACGCTTCGTACGCGCCACTGTGCTAAATACACGCGCACTGACGATGTCACCTCGAGTGGTGGCGCAATGTTTGCAGTCAACCTGCCGAGCTCAGCGAACACTCAGACCACCAACTGAACAACCTGCGCTACCAACATTGCTTCCATATCATAACATATATTTTATTTGATAATGTCATTTCTAGTGATGGGCTGTTGTTTGATATCCGCGATGTGGCTGCGCTTGATGTGCATGTCGACAAGGTGCCTACCTGTCTATTACCCACTACCTCGTCCATACTGGTTCTAGGAGACGGTTGTTCATTGCTGGAGGGAACGAGGTGCACGGTCCTTATGGTCGTGCTAGACTCGAAGTGTGCTTCCATGCACTCAGTTTGGAGCGGACTACGATCCAGCCACCGTCCTGTGTGCGCTTTTTTCCGAACCACAACGTGCTTGTGTTTGTCTGTGAAGGAGTGTGGGCGGGCTACGTTGATGAAACGTGACTCCCATCCACATGCCTCCGGTCTTATTCCTTCGGGTTTACATTATATATGGGTGTGTGGATGGAGCTGTGGGTGGTGCAGCGCAAGCCACCCATGGTCCCACTGTAGGCGCAGGCGTCCTGTGGCTGGCCACCGTGGCAGACAAATCCGAAACCGGATGCTGCCAACCAGATTGTGCTTGTAATTGTGCTGCTCCATTCTTGAATGTTTGATATCATCGGCAGTGTGCGAGTAGAAGCTTGGTGTCCATGGGTTTTAAAGGATTATCCGGATATCCACGGGTAGTGACTTTATTTCGTGGCTTATTATGACAGGCACGTCACTGTGTTTTTAAGCAAACATTTGTGGCTTTTTATAGGGGGAACACTTGCCAGGCGAAAATCTACGACGTCCTGGAACACTGTCGCCAAACTATTTTCTGGAACGGGTTAAACCCGAACCACTCAGCTGGCACCACGGGGAACTTTTTCAATTAACCAGCCATGCTACTTAAGTTTGCGAGTAACAACAAACTGTTATATAGGTATGTGAACGATAAAAGAAAGGTTAAACCTGAAATACCACCACTCAAGATAGGCAGTAGCTTAGCAACTATTACTGGGGATACCACAAACCTTCTACTTCTGCAATTTGGCTCGGTGGCCACAAATACCATGAAGCCTTTGCTCTATCAACTCCCAAAATATGCCGTCAGCTTATCCAATGTCACCTTTACCCCAGAGGCTGTGGTCGACAGATTACAGTTTCTCCTGGAAAACTGCTTCGGGAATCGATTAGATCTGCCCAAATGTACTTAAAACTCTTACACCCGCCTTAGCAGTACATCTTGAAACGTTATTCCCGAGTCTGTTGACTTCTATACACTCCCATCTGAATGGAAAAGTGGAATCACTCCGATATACAAGGGAGGATATCGGATTCTACCAACTACCGACCTATTACTCTCCTGGATGTTTTCTCAAATGATGGAATCAGTAATCTCAGATGAACTGACACAATATTTTGAAAGTCTGCAAATAATTTCCAATGTGCAACATGGTTCCCGATGTAGACGATCTTGCCTCACCAACCTGCACTTTGCCCGGGATTCATAGACCATAGCAGCTGATGAAGGAGTCTCCATAGACGTGGTTTACTTAGATTTTTCAAAAGCATTCAACTGGGTCAATCACTTCTTTCTCCAAAAGCATGCTGCTTACGGTATCAACAGTTCCCTCCTCACCTGGTTAGAACGTTACCTACAAGAAAAGCCATCAAGGTAAGAATAAGCAGCACTCATTTAGAAAGCCTGTGCATATCAAGTGCTGTATCACAAAGATCCGCTCTTGGCTCGCTACTGTTTTTAGTTTACGTAAATGACCTTCCAAGAAACATTTTCTCCCCGATGAAGATATTTGCAGATGATGCTAAAATATAGAGAGGAATTTGTTCAACATCCGACCATGCCTATCTCCAGAACCATCTAAACCTGATTAACGAATGGGCAGAAAGGAACCACCTCCTATTGAACCCTGCAAAGTGCCACCATCTGACGGTGCGCAGCAGCTTCAGTAACATATATCTTCTGCGACAGCACGTTTTGCAAAAGGTGACTAGTGAATGAGACTTAGGTCTCATCGTCCAAGAAAGTCGTGGCAATTCGCTCCAATGTTCGAAAGCAGGGAATGTGGTGAACTTGAATTTGAGGCTTTGAGGTAACCTCTCGGCTGGTGCCCCTGTTGATCAACACATTTTCGTCCCCATGTTAAATGTGCAGTTCAAACCTGACCAGGGGATCTCATCCTCACATACCGGATACTAACCGAAAGCGAGCACCCATGTGCATCACTGCTGACTCTAGCCCCTTACAAACAATGTCCTTAACACCTGAAACTAGTGAAACAACACCCGTTTGGATTGTAAGAAGTATGTTTACTCTCTCAGAATCTGTTCCCACTAGAACGCACTACCAACACATGTTGTGAACACACCAGACATCGCGACCTTTGACAGACTGCTAGACTTCCATCTCAGTGCTAAACGCTTTACAACAGTGAGAAAGTGCGATGCCTTCACCACTGATGATTTACGTTCCACGTTGGAACATTCTTCATTTTACTTTTCTTGTGCATCTTCCATCATGTGGGTCTTGTAGTGTTTTCTCCCTTCATACACTATTTAACTATTAAACTCTTCCTTTTCTGCGCGCGGTAGTCCTCCTCGTGATACAAACCAATTACATTCCGCCCCCCATGTACTAGCGACGCAACAGTACGTAAGTATACATGACCTCATCATTTGCAGCAATGTTGTCCTGACTACCAAGAATCATCCGTATACCCACTGGTTGTCTCACAACGCCTAACGCGTAAACATGCAAGAATTCTCTTAGAAAGCACTCACTGCAAATCATGGTCACGCTGAGCCAAGCGTTGTCAACCGTGACCCGGTAGCCAAAGGGGTAGAGGATTCGGCTACTATTCTAATCGCCGCGGGATCGAGGCATGCTGTCTCCACCTGATGAGATGAATTTACATCGAAACGCGTCGTGGTTGTGCAGTGTTTTCGGGTGGGCAACACCCAATTTCCATCTGCTTTGAGTACGGTCCAAGTGATCGCCGTGACTAAGGTTCACTTTAATGTGAATCACAGTCCATCACATTGAGATTGCTGGTCGCAATCCAATCACACAATGTGTAGTCCAAACTTGAGATTCCAATTAGTCATTACC